TGCTCCGCGCCCCCCTGGCGCGGTGGGCTGGACCCAGGCCAGTGGCATGGGGGTTGGGGGGCGGCGGGAGGAACCGCGGCTTGGGGGAAAGTTACCGGCTGGACTATTCGGTTTCTTGCGCTTCCAGAGCCGCGTCGTCTCTCCAGCGCTAGCGCGGCTCGGCAGAACGACCCTTCTGCCCCTCCCGCTCCGCAATCACATTCCCTTCTCAGGCTGCAGCCCCACCGCCACCTTTTCAAAGTCAGCTCTCACAACTCCAGTGCGAGGGTGGGTGATAAGAACTCTACCTACCACCGGTCTTGCCTCCGGCGCCGGCGCACCTGCCCTAACCGGAGCGGGGGTCGCCGTGTGGTAGCAACGTAGCGCGCGCCGCTGGCAGAGGGTGGCCATTCAAATGGGGTGGGGGGCGCTGCTTTCCATTCCCAGCTTTCTCTCCCCTCCTCCCACCCCACCCAAGTAAGAGAGCGACGTGTCCTGGCCAGAGCGAGGGGGGGTGGGAGTGGGGGGGCAGCGTGGGCAGCGGGTTGTGCCCGGACACGTGCCTGCCCAGGCGCCCCGGCCCTGCTAGTGTTTGGAGAGAGGGCGGGTCCCCTGCCCCCCACCCCGCACAACCCCCATGTATCAAAGGGCGGCTGAGACGTGGTGAGACCTCGGGGCGCCCTGGGGGGCGGGGGGTAAGGCGGGGAGCCTGGGTCCGGAGCAGGGGAGGGGCAGAGGCGCCGGTGCTAGCTGACCCACAGGAAACGAGCACTGCTGACCTAGTTTGGGACACCGGAAGTGGGTGCTGGGGAGAGGGGGAGACCGGCAAGCTGTCCTGGCTTCCGGGCCAGGTGGAGGGCGTTCTTGAATTGACCCCCGCCCGAATGCCTTGGAGACCCCTCACTGCAGCTGAGACTGGGAATGAGTCAGCGCAGCTTTTTCTCCTTCTCCCCGGCTTATTCCTACAGGAGGGGACCGTTTATCAAGGGTTGGGGGGAGCCAGCTTGGGAAGTAAGGAGTTAAACCAAGATATGAACTCTCTGTTCTCCAAGGGAGTGTGTGTTTTGGGGGGGCGCTAAGGCCTGGAGGATTATGGGGTTGCGTTTTGTTACCCCACACACACCAACTGGTTTGGTCACCCCTGTACCCTCCTGGCACTGTTTATAGAGCTGGCATGGAGTGGACATTAGATTGGGAGGAGATACTGGGCATAAGAAGTACTGTGCTGGGCTGGAGAAGGGCACATTTGTGACTGGGTTTGGATGGTAGTTAGTGTTCCTCCTTAGTGGTAACTCGGGAGGAGGACAGGGGGCTCCCCCTGGAGCAGCTGATGAAACAAGGAGAAATCTCTGCCAGTGCCTCCTGTCCTTGGCCCCCGGGACCCCAGCTCCCCCAGCGTGTCTCTGTTAACATGGTTGCTGTAGGCACGCTGCTGCCTGCTGACACCCCCAGACACTGTCCCCTCCCTCGGGTACCACCCCCCCCAGCCTGGGGTCAGGAAGGGGTTAATACCACCAGAAAGGGGCTCTGGGGAAGAAAGAAAGCAGTGCCCACTAAGCTCAGGTGTCAAGGAGACAGGCCCGCTCTGATGGGGCCCTGTCTCCACTACTCAGCCCAGGTGATATGGCCCCAGTGTCTGGGAGGCAGGTGCTGCCCTCTTCCCCCTTCCCCATGGTGCCCCCTGGCACCCACCGCCCCCAGCTCCTCCTTGGCCTAGTGCCTGCCCCAGGAGGGCGCGGCGGGCAGCGGGGGCTGGGCTAACAATGCACCATCGGGCCCTTTGTGTGCTTGCACTTGGCACCCTGGGGAAGAGTGGGGGAGGGGACCCAGCAGGCAGGGGGGGGTGGAGCACCTCTGGGGTGGGGACAGTGAAGGCTTGGGGAGAGAAGTGAAGAGTGAAAACAGGTGGGGAGGAAAGGGAAGTAGGTCAGATAGAGTGCTGGCCCCCCATTCCAAGCCAAGGCTGAGATGAATGGGGTCCTGAATGGCATCATGTTGGTACCCAAGGCCAAGCCCTGGCGTGGACATTTGGGGTCAGAAGTTACTAGACCAGCAGACTGCTCAGGTGGAGGAGGCAAGGCCGTCTTTTAGATGGCTGAGAGACCCAGTTCTTTTGGCCCAGGGCCAAGGACCTAAGACGGGGAATAAATGGTCTCCAGGCAGGGCAGTGCCCTCTGATAGAAACCTCTGGGCCTGCTTCAGGGCTTCCTGCCTCCAGCCTGTTTGGCTCTCTGACCTTCCTGAGAGTTAAGGCAGCCCTGCCACCAGGCCTTGGGGCTTGTGCCTGTTTTGGCCTAGGGCTGAAAAGGAGTGGGGGAGGAAGGTGGAGACAGGCAGATGGATAGGACCCTGGCATGGGGTGTGCCTGTTCTGGCCTCTCCCCCTCCTTCTCCTGAGTAAACTCGTGAGTAAACTTGACGTTTTGCCCGGACAGTTTGAAGTTGCCTTGCTGTCCCCCCCCCTCCGGTCCTGCCAACACAGAAGCGGCCAGGTGCCAATGCAGGCCTGGGGGGCTGAGGAGGGGGAGGATACAATGACTGATGCACCATCAAGGACTGGAGGGTCGAGACAGATCCCACTGCCTCCGCCACTTAGCCAAGCTCAGGCCTTGGCAGTAACCTTGTGGCCTGTCAGCATTTGTCACAGGACTTGAGGAAACCCAGAAAAAAACTGTCCTCAGAACAGCTCTCTTGCCCATCTCTGACCTCCATCTCTACCGTCTGGCTCCCTGAGAGGCCATCTTTTCTGTTTACAGGCCACTAGTCCAGGAGGGAATCTACCTTTAGCAAATGTCTCCATGAGGCCAGAGAAGGTTTCCCTCTTTTGGCCCACAGTCTGAAATGGGTGGGAAGCAGGTGGCACAGGGACATTATCCCGCTCTGCCCGAGGCTTCTGCCTGCCCCGTGGTCTGTCCTGCCCTTACCCTGGCTTCACACCTGGACCCAACCCCACAGTGCCTTCCCTGTGCTAATCATCAGGCCCTTCCTTACCCCAACTCTGCCTCTGCCTTTTAGCTTTCCTAGAACTTTCGGGGTTCCTAACCAGCAGATGCCTATACCACATCCATAGTTTGAGGGTGCCCATGGCAAAAGAGGGCTGATGGCAGGCAAATGGAGCCAGTGACCCCACACACATACATTAATTTGATACCACTTAACATCACAAATTCCTCTTATGCCTTCCCAGGTCACCAAAATGGTAGGAGACATGTCTTCCCAGTCTCTGCCACGCCTCAGAGTGGGGCTCCCCCAAGACCTTGCTTTCGACTTCATGTCTCTGGCTTCAGTTTCCTTCCTGTTTCCACCTCCCCCCCCAGCTCCTCCCCACCCATATGCCCCTTTCAACAGACATCCTCTCCTCCTTCCTTCCTCCTTTCTTCCCCCTTTGCCTGGAGTAAGGGGGTCTTCTCTCCCCACCATGAACCTCCTAGACTGTCTTACTCTTAAATAGTGTTGCACTTAAGAGTTCTGTGACCATTCTCTCCCTAATCTACCAGCTAAGCTCTTGGGAAGAGAACCCAGGGCCTCTTAAGGGAACTACAACTCCCAAGGTACATGCAAAGCAGTTGTGATGCACACTGGGAGTTGTAGTACTCTTTGAGCCCTCAATTTATTTGAGTCTAAAAGTGTTAAAGTCAGTACTGGGATGGGTTGCAACATAGAGACCCTCTGTATTCGCCTTACTTTGTTCTTGCCATTACATTCCCATGTGACACCATGTATCGACATCCATCTGTCATGCTAAGACATACTACCCATCCTCACACGGTAAGATGAGCCCCACCCAAGAGATGCCCACACCCTGCCCTGATGCCCCTGGCAGGGGAAATGAGGGGCCCCATGAACTCCATCCCTGCCCCCTGCCCTCCAGGCTAGTTCCCTCCCTTTATGGGGATCAAAGGGCAGGGAGCAGCCCCACCCTACTCCCTCACAAGCTGTAGGCATTAGACTGGGGCTCTTAGGAATTGCAGGGACTTTGGTGCCCGAGCATTTGCAGGGGGAATGCTGGGAGATTGGCGCCTGGTGTCAGGAGAGACACTGGTCCCCACCTTGGGGCGTGGATCCTTCAGTAACTGCTCATAGGTCTATCCATGCTCTGTATCAGCCCTGAGCAATGTGCTTCCTCCTAAGGAGGTGGCTTAAGGACAGGGTCTTGGGGCTTATCTATAGGACCTCAGGGGCCTGGGCCCGCCTGCCTGGCACCAAGGCATAGAAGTGACCCTCCCCCACCCCAGGCCCACAGTTGGCATAGGGCACTGCGAGCAGGGGGTAGGAGGGAGAGGCGGGCAGGACTGCCAGCATCCTGGTGGGTAGCTGCCAGCCAGGCCGGGAGCCGGTGAGGAGCAGCAGGCCAGCGGCACCAAGCCAGCAGCTGTTGGGGGTAACAGGGAGGGGGTATCTTAGGGGACATTTCTGTGATTCTCTCTGAGCCTAGCAGGACCTGGGATGGCCTACCGCCTGGAGGACACTGGGGTACCTTTCACTCCCAAGAATAAGAAACCCCAGGAGTTTCGTGACATTCTGCGGCCACTCATCGCAGAGCCTTCCTGAGTTGCCCCTCAGGCCCAGGCGGGTCCCACCCAACCAGCCAGGGTAGCAGTAGCTTGCGCAAGGGGTGGGGCTAGGAGCTTCCCAGCAGATGCCCCCTCCCAGCTCCTTCCTCTTTCGGTGCCTACAGCTCCCCCAGAATGTCTACCCCTCCTCAGCCAGCTCTGTCCCCCTGGTCACTGGGGTCTGGCATGAGTGCTGCCCCCTGGCCCGGTTGGCAGGGCTGGCGCCCTGGCGAAGAACTGTGGTATGTGAGTGGGTTTGGGGTGAGGCTGTGAGGAGGGCGGGTGCCGCCTTGCCCGGCCCCTGAGGGCCCCAGCCTGGTACAAGGTAAAGAGAATACGGACAGCTCCCAGCAAGGGGCAGGGGCTTACTAGGGTCTCCCTTAAGTTCTTTTAATCCCACGTACCCCGAGGGGCTGGGGCCTGGGCACCTGTCACCCCTGGCACTGACAGTCCAGAGCTCCCCTCCTCCCAATTTGGCCGCTGCTGTCTTCTGTCCCCTCCCTTCTTCCTTCTCCTGGTCCCACCTCCAGCAACCTCTCACATTGCTCCTCCTCACCTCTGTCCTCCTGGACTGGCCTAGCTCCTACCTTTCCTACCCCTCACCTTTTTCCCCTTTTAGGACTGAGTAAGGGCAGGCGGGGGTGGGGACAGCTGGGGCTTTGGGCACTGAAGGCAGAGACTTTGGGCCCTCTCCCACGCTGCCAGCCCTTCTGTAACCCCTCCCTCCAAGCTGGGGGGAGGGGGTAGCACCCAGAGGGTTAAGACTGTAGGGGGAGGGACTGGGCCAGGTCGTGGGCGGCCCCTTTGAAGGAGGGAGCTAGAGTGGGGAACAGACACCCCCCCCGTTATCCCTCCCCCTCCCCTTCCAACGTGCTGCCCCCGGGGGCCAGGAGGAGTTGCCGGCAAGGCCCCTCAGCGTTCAGGTGAGTAGGCCCTGCTCTGGCTCAGGAGGTCAGGCCCCAGGGGAGGCTCCGAGGCCTAGAATTGGCCAAGGGTCAGAGGAGGACTGAAAAACAGGGTAGGAAGAGGGTGCCCAGATTTCACTGGAGGCTTTAGGGAACAGAGGAGCCAAGGCGCTAGAGTGTGGGGAGGTCTCAGAGTCTTAGGATCCAAGAGGACCAAGAAAGGCAGAAGAAGGGTCCTACGGAAGCTGCTCGCGGGGCCAGGCCAGGAGGTTGGACAGGCTGGCAGGGAGTTGGGCTCCGGGGACCCGGCTGGGGTGTCTTCTGGGGCTTGGGGGGTGCTCAGGTTTCTGCCTGCGGCTAAGCGGGTGTGGGGTTACCAGCCAGCTTGGTTACCCAGCCAAAGATATGGCTGGGGGGAGGGGGATACAAGGTAGACCCTGGTGCTCTGGGCAGTCTCCTTAGCCTTAAGAAGAGCTGGCAGTGCCCAGCCAGACTCTGCTGGGAACCCTGATGACCAGGGTCTGTCCAAGTGAATAGTTACCTGGCTCAGGGTGGGCACTCTCTGGGGAAAGTCCAGTAGCTTCAGGGCTGGAAATTCTGACGGGCAGAGAGGCGCTCGCTGTCCCCCTTTACCCCACATCCGCTCTCACTGCACACCCTACCTCTCCCACTCTTTTCTCCAAGTGGCTCCCAAAATTTGGCCCTCCGCTTCCTTCAGAAGGCAGGTGTGGGTACCCAAGACTAAGCTATCTCTTCATAAGACAAGGCTTTGTACACAGAACAAACCCTGGTCTTGATTTGGTCCCTCTGCTATGTCTACCCCACACAGGCCTGGAAGGGTACTTGAAGCCTGGCAGATGTTGAAGCCTGGCAGATGTTGGGCTCAGGGGAGGCTTCGGTGAGAAACGTGAGGAGGGAAAGGAGACCTTGAGGATGGTTCCTAGCTGCAGTCCTAGGGACAGGCGCGATAGAGAGATGAGAAAGCTCATAAAAGCTAAGAAAGGGAACCAAGGTTCAATCTTGTGTGGGAAGACAAGGGCCACAGGTGCAGGACGAGAGCGCAAAGAGTAAAAGAGAAAGAAGTCCTAGGAGAAAGACTAGGAGTATGGGGCTGCTGATGAGCTAGGGTCCCCAGAGGTGGAGAGGCAGGGCTGGGAAAGCGGTCCCCTATTCCTTCCTCCGCCATCTTTCTATCCTTCCATTTTCCTTGATGGGCTAAAGGGCTGTGTGCTAGAGCCGAGCTTATAGAACGAAAAGGAGTGCTAGTAGTGGCCCTCCACCAGGAGCCCCTGCACGGGATCGGGACCTGGTGGGAGCTTAACCCCCACAGCACCGGGAAGCAGCCGACTCCCCTCGCCTCCTTCCCCCTTCGTGGCTTGCGGTCTCTCTTCCCCGCCTCGGCCCCCAGGAAGTGTGAGTGCTGGGGGTGGTGAGGTTAGGAGGGGGGAAGCGTCACATGGGGGATGGGGAAGGCATGTACAAGTTTAGAGGGGGCTGGAGAGCAGAGCTCCGCAGTGCTTTTGGCATCCCTGGGCCCAGCTTCGGTCTTTTGGCCCTCTCTGTGGAAGTTCTTCCAATCCTCCAGTGATGTGTGACTCAGCCACCTCACCTGCCTGAAACTGGGCAGTTCAGATGTCAGTGGCCCTTTGGCCCCAGAGGGATGGAGGGAACCATAGAATAAGGATTCCTGGGTCCTTAAAGACTTTGGACTGACTCCAATTTTTCCCTACCCCTCTGGTCCAGCCACAGGCCAAAACCCTAGCTTCGTGCAAACTGGGCTCCAAAAAAACAGGAAGAGAACCTGAGGCTGGAGCTGGGGTTGGGGGTGGAGGCAGAAGGGAGAAAGAAGGGGGAGGGGTGGCCAGCCCAGGCACTAGGAGCACTGGGCAGAGCCTTGGGTCTCAGTCATCCCCAGCAGGAAGGTGTTTCAGCCTGATCCTCACCCTCTTGGCTGCTGCTCCAGAAAAAAGCCAAGCCAGGCCCCTCTCTGGTTCCCTGGCAGAGCTGGGAGAAGGGGCCTTGGAATGGGGGGGGGGTGATGCTCTATGCGCCTGTGTATCAGCCTACATCTATTTTCAACGACACTAATCCTGGTTCTGCCGGCTGCCCCCCACACTAAGCCTGGGTCCCCTAATCCCCAAGGTAGGGAGAAGGGGGGGCCAGCTTTACTCAGCTGCCCTGTTCAGGGGCCTCCTATGCCTGCCCTTCAGCTGGCTCAGACCAGCATGGAGCCCCTCAGCTGGAAGGTGCCTACTGGAAGATCCTAGTTGCCTTTGTCTTCCTAAGTGTGCCAGTACCCTCTGCCTTTTGGTTGTTTGGTAGACACACTCTGGCAGGTGCCTCTAGGTACTGATGGGTAGGTGATAGGGACTCCCAACTTTGTCACCCCTTACCATTGTCACCCTGGAGTCTTCCCCACCAGAGATGGTGCAGGCTTGACACAGGGCCCGGTTTCAAGAAAGCTGCCCACTGGCTTGGCCGGTCTAGCAGGACTGACAATGAGGGGAGCCTGGGGGGGGTGGCGAGAAAGAGGGGAGTGATGGGGCGGGGCCCCCAGTTCTTTCCCCTACCAGGCAAACAGACCAAACAGACCTTGCCTGGTTCCCTGGCACAGCTGCCCCCCCAACCCCCACACACACCCATGCCCACAAGGTCTTAGCAAGAGGGGGCATGCCAGGCTGGGTAGGGATGGGCTGCCTACATGGGGCGTCAAGGGGACTGGGCCCGCTGGGATACAGGTGTGGGAAGGGCGCCCAAGGTGGGGTGGGCACACTGGCACCAGTGCCCCGCCCTGGCAGAAAGAAGGGGAGGCCTCCACCCCACCAACCCCTCCCATGTGATAGAGCTAGGAGTGCCCCCTCGGCCTGCTTGGCACCAGCATAGTTCCAGGTGGCACCTCCGTTGGTACGGGTGCCAGGGCTAGGGGATTTCCCAGAGCACCCTCTCCTCCCTGTACGCCATCTGCTTCTCTAGCCCTTCCTCGGTACCTTGTGGCCATAGGCATTGGATTTGGGCCTAAGGAGTTAAACACCCACCCTTGCCCAAGCCCTGTGTGAGTTGGTGGTGAACCACTCTGCGCCTGTGACCTGACAGCAAGCTCAGCCAATCAGTACACCTGCCATACCAAGTTGCCACAGAGATCAGCCCTGGGGTGGGAGAGAGGAGGCAGGTTTACCAACGGGAAAGGGTGGGGTGGGGAGGGAAGGAGGGTGAAGGATGGTATGAGCCATGTGCCTCCGGGTGCCCAGCTCCCAGCCAATGGACAGCAAGGATAGCTCCACCCGAGCCCCTTAGGAGGAGGAACATGATGCGCTCGGGCCCAGGAGAGTACCCACTGCTGTTTAAGTGGCAGCTACTGCTGCTGCTTCTACTCTTGCTGCCCACCTGATTTTTGTTTGTTCTTTGGTTTGGGAACTTAAGGTGGGAACAGGTGAGCTATCTAGGGATTCCCAGGTGCGGCTCCCAAAGAGACAAATGGATGCCATGCACTCAGTGCTTCCGTGCAGGTGCTCAGGCTTTGCAGTGAAGGTGGCCAGCAGGTAGGCCATTGTGATAGTGCAGTTGTTGTGTCCTAAAAAGGAAATGTGTATCCCCCTGACTTACACTACCACCCCCCAAAACTCTTTCCCATAGATGGCTAGGGTTGATCTGCTGTTGGAGTATCAACGAGGACACAGACAAAATCCCAGTGGGACTTGCTCTGCGGATGTCAGGATTTGTCTTTACTGTTACAGATAGGAGGACTAGGCCTCCTCAGAAAGGAAGTGACTTGTCCAAGGTCAGGTAGCTCCCTAGTAACCTGGCTCCCTCAGGGTACATTCAGGGAGGAAAGAGGCAGACCTGTCTCCTAGCAATTCTCTCAGCAGAGGCCATGTGTGCACTGGAATCTGCCCTGAGGCCAGACTACTGACTGAGCCCCTACTGTAAGTTAGGCATTATGCCACACCTGGCCTCACTTACCCCTCACCACAACCCCTGGAGTCAGCTGGAATTATCCAGTATTGCAGATGAGGAAAGAGACGCAGAGATAAAATCACTTGCTTAAGATCGTGAAGCTAAGAATTCAAACTCAAGCCTGGTTGAGCCTAGCTCTGTCCAAGCTCAGAACTGTTCCAGTCTCTATTAGCTCTAGACCACTGGTTCTTAACCTTCCTAATGCTGGGTGGTGGTGGTACGTGCCTTTAATCCCAGCACTCAGGAGGCAGGCGGATCTTTGTGAGTTCAAATCCAGCCTGATCTACAGAGCAAGTTCCAGGACTGCCTCCAAAGCTACCAGAGAAACCCTGGCCTGAAAAACAAAATAAACAAACAAAAAGTTCCTTATGTTTTGGTGACCCCCAACCATGAAATTATTTTTATCGCTACTTCACAACGGTAATGTTACTGCTAATGTTAATGAATCATAATGCAGATGTCTGTGTTTTCCCATTGACTTAGGTGACCCCTGTGAAAGGGTCATTCACACCCAGAGAGGTCAAGACCTACAGGTTGAGAACTGCTGTTCTTGACTAAAATAATGTCAGGGCTGATGGGTGGAGCTTCTGTAGCTTTCCTTCCCAGCCTGTTTGGTTTTGTTGGTTTTTTTGTTCGTATGTTTTTTGTTTTGTTTTGAAACGGGGGTCTCTCTACATAGGCCTGGCTTTCCTGGAACTTAACTATATAGACCACACTGACCTTGAATTCACAGAGATCCACCTGCCTCTGCCAAGTGCTGATATTTAAGGTGTGTGCTACCACACCCAGTGTCCCCAACCCTTTCTTGTATAACAGGAAGGTATAGGCCAGACCACTGACTGAGCCCTTACTGTGTGTTCGGCACTGTGCCACACCTGGCTTCATCCACCCCGCACCACAATGATTTGCTCAAGGTCATTCAACTAGGCCACTCTTCAATTCTTGCCCTCCCCACCCCTGCAGGGACAAGCACTAAGGTTGCTTCTGGAGAGGCAGGGTCCTCTGCAATGGGGAGAGAAAGATGGTATAGTTTAAGGAGGAGGACAGGGGTGGGACTTGGTTGGCCTTTCGGCAGTGGGGGTGATGCTTATCTGTGGTGGGGGCAGGAAGTACCTACATCAGTGACACCCCAGCATCGGGTAGCTGCTTCAAGCGAGGATCTGGAAGGAAAAGTTGTGGGGGGGGGCTCTTTTCCTTTTTTGGTTTTATGAGACAGTTTCTCTAGACAGCCCTGGCTGTCTAGAACTCACAGAGATCTGCCTGCCTCTACCTCCTAGGATTAAAGGTGTGCTGGAATTAAAGGCATGCATCACTGCTGACACCTGGCAAGGATGGTTCCTTTTGTTTGTAGGATATACTATACTTGTGACAAAACCCAGACATGTCTGACTTGCCAGCTTTGGTCCGATATCAGTCTGAAGTCTCCTTGGCCTCTACCAGAGCTATGGGGAGGCTCCATCATAAACCATTACTCAAGTTTTCAGATGTCTGAAGCCGAAACCAGGACCTCCTGCTGCTTCTAAAGAGACAGGGAGTAGGAAGGTGACCAAGTATGTCTAGAAACTGACAGAGGCAGGAACCCCACAGAAGCAGACCAGAGCAGCGCAAGAACTGGGAATGTGGAGGTGGAGGTGGATCTGGACCTGACAGGGTGACCCTACTCACATGGCACTTCACCTAGAAAGCTGGTTGCTTCATCTCTCCAAACCGCAGTTCCTCCGCACTTGACATGGAAGGACACTTTGGAAGGGTATGGGATACTAACAAAAATTAAGCACTTAGAAAATCGTCCAGTAGGCTGGGCAGTGGTGGCGCACACCTTTAATTCCAGCTCTTGGGAGGCAGAGGCAGGTAGATCTCTGTGAGTTCGAGGCCAGCCTGGTCTCCAAAGCAAGTTCCCGGACAGGCTCAAAGCTACACAGAGAAACCCTCTCGAAAAGCTGTCTAGCATGTGGCCCTCCTTCATTAAGTGAGCCAACATTGGAAGGGGATCCCCAGCACCCCTTTTAGGAGTAAGTGTCTTAACCTCACCCTCTACTTGACCCTGCAGGAGAAGATGGGGAGCCCTGAGGATGACCTGATTGGAATTCCATTCCCAGACCACAGCAGTGAGCTTCTGAGCTGCCTCAATGAGCAGCGCCAGCTGGGCCATCTGTGTGACCTTACCATCAGGACGCAGGGTCTTGAGTACCGCACCCACAGGGCTGTGCTAGCTGCCTGCAGCCACTACTTCAAGAAGCTCTTCACCGAGGGTGGGGGGAGCGCTGTTATGGGAACCGGGGGTGGCGGGACAGCTGCTGGAGGAGCAGGGGCCGCCGGTGTGTGTGAGCTGGACTTTGTAGGGCCAGAGGCCCTGGGTGCCCTGCTTGAATTTGCCTACACAGCCACACTGACCACCAGCAGCGCCAACATGCCGGCTGTACTTCAAGCTGCCCGGCTCCTGGAAATCCCCTGTGTTATTGCTGCCTGCATGGAGATCCTACAGGGTAGCGGGCTAGAAGCCCCTAGCCCGGATGAGGATGACTGTGAGCGAGCCCGACAGTACCTTGAGGCTTTTGCCACTGCCACCACCTCAGCCTCAACCTCAGGAGTGCCCAATGGTGAAGATAGCCCTCCACAGGTGCCCCTCCTACTACCACCACCACCACCTCGACCTGTCGCCCGCCGCAGCCGCAAGCCCCGAAAAGCTTTTCTTCAAACCAAGGGGGCCCGAGCAAACCATCTGGTCCCTGAGGCGCCCACGGTACTCTCCCATCCCTTGACCTACGAAGAAGAAGGGGTGATTGCTAGAGTGGGCAACAGTGGGGGCAGTGGGCTTGGGGACAGCTACAGCCCTCCCACAGGTGCTGCCTCACCTCCTGAGGGGCCCCTGAACTATGAGGTCTGTGAGGGTGAGGAAGAAGAAGAAGAGCTGGCCTACCCCCCAGCTTACGGGCTAGCACAGAGCAACGAGCCCTCACTGTCGCCAGAGGAGCTGGGTTCAGATGAAGACACCATCGATCCCGACCTGATGGCCTACCTAAGTTCCCTGCACCAGGACGCCCTGGCACCAGGCCTGGATGGCCAAGACAAGCTGGTGCGTAAACGCCGTTCACAGATGCCCCAAGAATGCCCAGTCTGTCACAAGATAATCCATGGGGCTGGCAAACTGCCACGCCACATGAGGACCCATACCGGTGAGAAGCCCTTTGCCTGTGAGGTCTGCGGTGTCCGCTTCACCAGGTGAGCGCCTCGTGGAGGCCAGGGCCCAGAATGGGCTGAGGGGGGTGGGGGTGGGATCTGAGTGAAAGCAGATGGGTCTAGTGTAGACCAGTCCTCTTGCGGGTTCCTGGGAGGCCGAAAGAACCACCAAGAGTGGCGCTTGTGAATGGTCCGGTGCCTAAGAAGGTCGCACTGGAGATAGAGGGGCAAGTGGCAGAGCCCATTAAGCTAAAGGCCAATCAGAAAGGGTTTCCTGGGGCAGTAATGGGTACATGGCAGCAAGGGACGGGAGTGGCCGGGAGCCCTGAATGTTTACACCTTTCTGCTTCACCAGGAATGACAAGCTGAAGATCCACATGCGGAAACACACAGGAGAGCGCCCCTATTCGTGCCCACACTGCCCAGCCCGCTTCCTGCATAGCTATGACCTCAAGAACCACATGCACCTGCACACTGGGGACCGGCCCTATGAGTGCCACCTGTGCCACAAGGCTTTCGCCAAGGAGGACCACCTGCAGCGCCATCTCAAAGGCCAGAACTGCCTGGAGGTGCGCACCCGAAGGCGCCGCAAGGACGATGCGCCACCGCACTACCCGCCACCCTCCACCGCCACCCCATCCCCTGCCGGCCTTGACCTCTCCAATGGCCACCTGGACACCTTCCGCCTCACTCTGGCCCGATTTTGGGAGCAGTCAGCTCCCACAGGACCCCCGGTCACTACTCACGGGCCCCCTGAGGAGGAAGAGGAGGAAGGGACATCTACCACACCACAGGCTGAAGGTGCCATGGAGCCCTCTTAAAAGAGGGGTGAATGGCCAGGCTGGAGCAGCACAAGGCCTAGGATGCCATGCCAAGCAGTGGGGAGCACATAAGACCAATGGAGTTGGGGGTCAGGGACCCTGAGCCTTGTTGGCTTCAGAAGCAACCCCTTTCCCCCCAGAGCCTTCATTCCAATTCCAAGCTGAGGTTTTGGGTCACAAGCTCTCTAGATTGGGGTGATCACCCAAGGAGTTATATATGAAATATATATGTGTGTGTGTGTGTATGTGTGTGTATGTGTCACACACGCTGCACATATTTCTATATATACACACACACACAGTAAAGGTGGGGTCCCTGTCCCAGCTGCTACTGGGGAATTGAAGCAATAATCTATCTCTGATTTGTGGGGTCCCACTTCGGCTATGCGGGTTTCTAGGAGGCTGGGGCTTGGGACCAAAGCCTTGCCCTGCTCCCATGCCCCCTGGGTTTTGGCTGTGTGTGAGGGGGTGGACTGCCCCTCCCTTCCGAGACCCCTCCTTCCTGGTTTCTGTTCCCTTTTCCTGGCAGTAAATTATGCAAAAGGGGGTGGCAAAGGAAGGGTAAGTGGGGGGAAACAAGGTGGAAGCTTGAGGACTAGGGGTGGGGGGGACTGGGCCTGTAAGGACGGAGCCATCCCAGTCCCCCCTCCACCCAGTTCCAACGCTGAGTCATGGGGTCCTGGAGAAGGGGGCAGGGTGGCTTGATTGGCTCGCCCGCCCCTGGGGGGGTAGCAGAAGGGCTCCGCCCAGCTAAGGGAGCTCTCCACCTCTCCCCTCCCGCGTCCCGGGGCAGGGAATGTCTTGTTCCTGGCGCTCCCTCCCCAAGGCCAGAGGGCAGGGCGGGCCGGGCGTCTTACCCTCTTCTCCTCCCTACCTCCCCGCCCAGGTGCAAGCCGGAGCCGCCTCTGCTGCGTGCTGCCCCTGACTCACGCCGCCCCCGGGCTGGCGGGCGCTGGGTGTGGGATGGGGTGAGGGGTTGAGGTAGCCTTGCGGGGAGCGGGTGAGCCAGCGCCATCTGGTGGCCATGCCCTGTAGTGGCGAGTGCCCCCCTCTCCCCCCCCCCCCCCGTGACCACTTTAGTGAGTTAGTGTCATGCCCAGCCATCCTGGCCTTTGAACGGGTGCTCCCGCTTGTCCCTGGGAAAAGTGAGCTGCAGAGCAGATCTAGAGGAAAGAAATCCTTTCCTGAGACCTTGCCCGTCACTCTTAGGACTGAGTCCACCCCCATTCTGTACATAGCCTCTTCTGATGGTCTTGTTGAAATCCAATTTCACATTTTAAACTACCAATTCTCCTGGGGTGGAGAAGAATCTTCACCCCTGCCCCTTCCTCGCTGGGTGCTGGACCCCCATTGCTGCCTGGGCTCTGCCTTGCACTATTTCCCCCCTTTGGCCTGGTGGCCCTTCCCCCTCCTTAAAAGGGGCAGGTTCAGGGGCCGGTGCTCTCCTCTCCCCATGCACCTCCATGCCCATTTGCACAGCTGCCCAGGTACCCCCAACAGTGGGGAGGGGTCAAACAGGGAGGGGTGGCGGGACCAGTCCCTGTGTCTATTTAAAAAGTGATGATGTAATATATTAGGAGGGAGGTCAGGTGCTCTGGGCCTCATCTTAGCATTTCAGGTGATAGGGAGCCCAGGGCTGGAGAAACCTGGGGCTTAGTCCCAGAAAGTGGGGACAATGTGGCCTCACTCTCTACTTGCGGCTTTCCCACTCAGTGCCTTAGTGGGGGGTAAGCATTTCCCCCCTCCTCTCCCATTCCCTTCATCTACCCCTGCCCCCGCCTTGGGTGTAAGTGACAGGAAGAAATAATAATAATTTAAGATTCATACTTGTGTCCGCTTTTGGTTCCTTTATTGTGGGGGTGAGTGGGAGGGGCTGGGAGGTTCTGAGGCTGGGGAGGAGGCTGCTTTGGGGGCAGTGGATTTCTGAAGAAGTCTCTGGGGCTCAGGTGGTAAGGGAAGGCCTGCAGACTGATGAGCTGGGAGGCGCTGTGGGAGCTTCCTTTGAGGTGTTTTCCATTTGTCCTGGTCCCTGGGAGGAGAGGAAGGGCCCTTAAGCTCAAAGTCACTGGTGGGCAACCATCACCCCTGCTCAGCTTGACCGCTGCCCTTCTGGCATCTACTTTTTTGTTATTGGTTTTATTTTATTTGTTTGGTTTTTCGAGACAGGGTTTCTTCTGTATTGCTTTGGAGGCTGTCCTAGAACTCTGTAGACCAGGTTGGCCTGGAACTCACAGAGATGCACCTGCCTCTGCCTCCCAAGTGCTACCATTAAATGCCTGGCCACCACACTTGCTTTGCCAATGCTCTTCACTGTTAATGAGGACAGAGCAACTGGAATACCCCTCCCCGACCCAGCCAGGGTGTCAGCCACTTACCCTCTTCAAAGGCAATCATCTCAGCTAAGATGCCTCTATTCTGTTCTCATCCCATTCTCTCTCCAACCCGTCCAGAAACTCATGGCTACCATATTTGCAAGAGAAAACCATGTCATCAGCCTTCAGGAAGCCAAGCAGGACATCCCCTACACATTTCAGGCCAACCTGGCTTACAGTGCTGAGACCCTGCCACCAAAGACAAAAAAACAACAAAAATCAATGGGAACTAGTGGAGGTTTCGAGGGTTCACTGTCAGTCCCTTTACTCCGCCTGGAAATCCCCCAGTCTCCGCTGTAGCTTGACTGCATGCTCCTCCCGGCGGCGCTCCCAGAGGCAGAGGCAGGCAGACCTCTGAATTCAAGGCCAGCCTGGTACACATTAATGCCAGGTCAGCCAGGTGTAGTGAGACCCTGTCTCAGAAATAATATGATTAAATAAGCCCTCTATTTTTAATCACAATAGTTATATTAAAGGGATCTTAAACCATCTCCCTCATACAGGAGCACCATACTCCATTTCCGAGTTGTGTTTTCAATTGTTTTGTGTTCTGGTTTTAGCCATCCTGCTGCCATGAAAAATGTTCCCACAAACCACACCTTATAAATAGATATGAATGTTTTGCTTGTTTGCACGAGTACTGCATGCATGTCTAGTGGCCAGAGTTCAAAGGAAGATGTTGGATCCCCTGAAACAGGAATTATAGATAGCTGTGAGCTGCCATGTGGGTACTGGGAACTGAACCTGGGTCCTCTGAAAGAACAGCAAGTGTTCTTTTGTTTGTGTTTTTCAAGACAGGGTTTCTCTATGTAGCCCTGGCTGTCCTGGAACTCACTCTGCTCACTATAGAGCAGGCTGGCTTGAACACCTCCCATGTGCTGGGATTAAAGACTTGCACCACCACTGCCTGTTTTGTGAGTGTTCTTAACCACAAGGCTGTCTGTCTAGCACCACTCCTTCCTTTTGTCCTTCTGGTCTTGCCAAAAAATGACCTGGTTAGCATAGAACTCACTCCGAATCCTCCAATGTGTGTGTTTGTTGAGGCAGGGTCTCACTGTGTAGTACTGACTGGCCTGGAACTCACTATGTAGATCAAACTAGCCTCACTTCCCCGCCACACACACACACACACACACACACATCTTTGAAGACCACAGGTTTATGAACCACCCGGATAATCCCAGCCCTAGGGAATGGAGTTCAAGGCCATCCTTGGCTACATAAAAAAAATTATATTTTGACAAAAAGAACTCAAGCTGTGGTGTGTGTGTGTGTGTGTGTGTGTGTGTGTGTGTGTACACACCCGCACATGTATAGGAGAGAGAGAATATAGCCTGGTGATAAAGAGTGAACATCTTTAATTCCATCATTCCCTGAGAGTGGAATTCCAGGTAAACCAGGGCTACATAGACCCTGTCTCAAAGAAGAACAGAAAGTCATTCCCTGCATGTGCCAGGCTCTAGGTTAGACCCCCAACAGCACAAAGGAAGAAGAGGAGGGAAGAGTAAGAGTGAGAACTAAAGGAGAGAGGAAAGTGGGCGCAGTGCCATCTGTCTGTAAGCTCAGCACTCTAAGGAAGAGCTGCAGACACCTGAGGCCAAGGCCAGGGAGGATCCGCACACGGTGGCTCTCTGTAAGTTGGAGGCCATCCTGGTCTACAGAGTTCAAGGGACAGCAAGAACTATATATCAAGACTGTCTCAAAACAAACACAGATAAATGTGAATGCACCCGTCCTTTACCACCTGAGATCTAACATTTTCTCTCTCTCTCTCTTCCTCTCTCTCTCTCTCACACACACACACACACACACACACACACACCTTAGGTTTTATTTACCCTCCTGAACGTTTACATTCTCCAAACTCACACAGGCCGCAGCTTCCTCACCTCCACCCCCAGAATGTGCCTGACAAACCACCAGGTTGCCCCCAAAGCCCAGCTCGTTCTTCCCCTTTTCTGTGAAGGTTTTGTTTTGTCTTCTCCTCTAGACAGGTTTCTAGGCTTGGCTGTCCTGGCACTCACTCTGTAGACCAGGCTGGCCTCTAACTCACAGATCTGCCTCCTCAGTGCTGGGACTGTGAAGTGTGTTTGAATATCTTCCCATCACAGCAGTATCCCTCTTTATTAGGAGCTCTGCACAGGACAGCTTGTGACAGACTGTCTTGTGACAGTACTCTCCCCACCATCACCACACTGCAGGTTGGGGTAGGCAGGCACTCTGGGAGCCTGTCCAGATGTGACACAACATGCTCCCAATTCCCAGGTGCCACCCGAACCTGCTTTCTGCTTACCTGGACTCTGGGCGGGATTTGTCTGAGAGACTCTTGCCCAATGCTTCCTGGAGCTGTTGTCGAAGTTTCATCTCCTGCTCAGGGGACCTTCTGCGAGCTGCAGCCAGCCATAGCTGAGGACCCTCCTCATCACTGGAGTCCCTGCAGAACCCTGCTATCTCAATGGCCCGCAGATATCCTGGGATAAGGGCATTAGTCCCACGACTCCTGCATTCTGTGGCCTCCCCCCACCCACAGAATCTCACAGCTCCAGGTCCAGATGCCCCAGGTTGGAGAGGGGAGATGCACACAGAGAGCAGGTGTTGTCCAGCAGACGGAAACAGGTAGGGCAGTAGAGACCTAGAAGAGGCCAGGAGGGAAAGGAGCTAACCCTTCACATCCTGTGATCCCTAGTTCTTGGACTTGCCTCCCCACCCTCTCCTGAAGGAAGACCTGTCCTTATCAAGTATGCACATTAGGGAAATGCTGCGGTACTCCCCCCTGCACCCTGGAGAATCGAGGAGATTCTGGGGGAAAGGAGCTATGTAAGTGAGAAGATGCATAGTAATGGAGGTATGGACAGACAGGTACAGGAGAATTCCATAGAGGAAGAACCATGATTGAGTGACATGTGCAAACACCATGAGTCCTTCAGGGAGAGGGGGTACTCACCTTTGCAGCCTGGGGTACTGCAGGACACAAAGTTCTCCATGTCCCCTGGGTCCTCAGGCTGACCACAGCCCAGGCAGTAATGTGGATGCAGCAAAAATTGGCTGAGCAAAGGACTTAGGCAAGGGCACCTTAGAAGAAAGATGTCAAGCTCAGTTCACCTAAGCTTTCATGCCCATACTGACCTCCAAATTCAAGGGAGACCTCCCAGGGCCCGAGCCTCTATTTAACTGTTTCGTCACTGCTCCCCTCTCCTCCCTCCCTCGCCCCATCACTCCCCACTCTCAAGAATCTTTAGTGGGGCTGGAGAGATGGTGCAGTGGTTAAAATCACTTGTTACTCTTGCAGAGAACCTGGGGTTGGTTCCCAGCACCTACGTGATGACTCAAATCATCCATAACTCCAGATCCAAGGGATCCAATATTTTCTTCTGGTCTCCACGGGCACCAGGCATGCATTTTGTATATATACATACATGTAGGCAAAAAATTCTTACATATAAATAAATCATTTTAAAAGTTATCTTTGTAGCTGGAAAGGTGGCTCAAGCACTTAAGAACACTAGCTGCTCTTTCAGAGGACCTAACTTCAATTCCCAGGACCCATGTAGAGGTTCACAGCGTCTCCAACACCAGTCCAAAGGGATCTGATTCCCCCTTCTGGCCTCTGTGGGCACTGCATGCACATGATGCATATAGGCAGAGAACACCCATGCACATAAAATAAAAACAAGTAAAACAATTTTTTTAAAAAATAAAATTCTTAACCAGGCATGGTGGTGCACATCTTTAATTCCAGCCCTTGAGTGGCAGAGGTAGGCAGATCTCTGTGATTTTGAGGCGAGCCTGGTCTATAAAGTGAATTCCACAGGGCTGTTACACAGAGAAACCCTGCCTTAAAACAACAACAAAATAACAATAATAAAATTATTGTCCCTAATTCTTCCTCCAGAACATAAAAGGCATGAGTTGGATACCCTCTTTAACCAAACTTGTCACTTGGAAAGCACAGGGATCCATTCTGACCTCTGGCTCTTTTTTCTGTCCATTGTCACCCCATCCCTATAGGGAAACACCATAGACTCACCTGATGGCTAGCACCTGGAGGACACTCATGTGGCCCTGGTCAGCTGCCCGTCGAGTCACTGCTCGGTGCACTGCGGCCAACATGTTGGTCCGACGACTCAGAAGCACGTTGTAGAGGTAGGAGATCCTTTCCTGGAGGGTGGAGGGTGGAGCCAGGATGGGAGCAGTTGATCCTGGTCCATCTGCCTTAGCATGCCTAGCATCCATCCCCACTCCTTGCCTGTCTATTCCTTTTAATTCCTGCAAATTCTTCAAGGTGTAGAGCTCAAATGACTGTTCCCCCAGGAAGACTCTGGATCCCCCCCCCAGCAAAGTAAGCTGTTCCTCCTCTAGCTTTCCATATCTCTTTATTGATCCTTTAGTAAAACCTCTTTAATTTTTTATTTCATATACATTGGTGTTTTGCCTGCTTGTATGTCTGAGTAAGGGTGTTGGGACCCCTGGAACTGGAGTTACAAACAGCTATAAGCCACCATGTAGATGCTGGGAATTGAACCCAGGTCCTCTGGTAGAGCAGTCAGTGCTCTCAACTGCTCAGCCATCTCTCCAGCCCCTCTGTTTTATTTTGTCTAAGTTATAATGTTTCATTAAAAGCCTTTCTTCTGATGGGTGGTGATAGTGCATGCCTCTAATCCCAGCACTCAGGAAACAAAGGCAGGAGGATCTCTGTGAGTTCAAGGCCAGCCTGGTCTACAAAGTGAGTTCTAGGACAGCCAGAGTTGTTATACAGAGAAACCCTGTCTTAGGAAAATAAATAAGTAAAAGCAAAAGAAATTAATCTACTTTAAATGCCTGCCAGTCTAACTAGACTATCTCATCTTGCCTCTTAGGAGTCCCTGCACCACAGCTGCCATGTTCAATATGTCACACTGCCCTAACACTATGGTTTTAGCAAAGCCTTGGAGGCCAAATGTGCCTCAGGAAGCCTTGGCTAAAAGAACATTGTTCCTCATGGCTCCACCTGAAGGCCAGGTCTTTGCTCTGGGCTCCAGTAGGCAGGGCTGATGAAGACTTCAGTATCCTCAAAACCGAGGCACACAGCCCACAGCTTAGCATCGAGGCAGTGGCAGAGAGCTACAGGATATGGCACCCCTCACCTGTTCTCTGAACGGGTAATAGGAGGCACAAATGACTCGCCGCAGCCTGCTGACATAGCTGCCCAACAGAGTAACGAAGAAGCACAGACCATACATGGAACCTGGAACACGCATGCAGTCAGCACTGCCGCTGCCCAAGGCACTGGCCACACTCCTGGTCCACACGCTCCCCTCACCCGGGTCTTCACTCTTAGGTGAGGTGAATACCGATAACAATGTAACCATTAACATCTGGTTCCGAGGGATGCAGGAGGCAGCGCCGGGACAATATACTGATGTTGCCTTGTTGCAGAATGTCAAAAGCTGATACCAGGTCGCGGTAAATACTCCCAGAATAGCCGGTCCCTTCCACCGTTATAGACACCAGCACAGGGCCTGGCACAAAGGCATTGTGAGGGATACTGATGGCAATGGCCCAGTTTCCACCACCTTCTGTTCAGCATGGAAAGTAGAGCCAGGCAGGTCAGAGGCATGAGCCATACCCTTATCCAGGACCTTTGATATCAGCTATCCATCAAGGCACACTGAGGCCTGACCTCTGTCCTAATACCATCATGATCCAGCTGGCTGGCACTGCTGTAATCTTCATGACCATCCCAGAAGCATTTAATATTGGCTGAAATCTGATTATTTCTTCCTTGGTTTTTAGAGACCTTTCTCACTATGTAGTCTAATCTGCCAATCTTACTGCTTCAGCATCCCAAGCGCTGGGGTCACGGGTGAATACCACCACTCCACAATTTATTATTGTGTTTTATGTCTATCTTGAGTTTCGGTTTTTCTTTTCTTTTTCATGTATTTATTATTAGTGTGTGTCTGTGTGTGGAGGAGGTTACAGGACAACTTGGTGTAGTTTGCTCTCTCCTTCCACGTTTTCAAGGGTTTTGAGGATTGAACTTATGCCAAACCTTTGTGACAAGCACTTTACTCCCTGAGCAATCTGCCTGTCTGTTTGTTTCTTGTTTTGTTTATTTGTTTCTCTTCTGCTCTGTGTGTCCTGACTCACAAATGATATTCCTTAGCTTGTAACCCAGTCTCAATCATGGGTCACTGAGGTACTAAACAAAACTAGTCTCACTTCTTACAGTGACCCAGACAACAGCCATTGCTCCATTATTCAGATGAGCAAACTGAAGCTATGAAGTTATGCAATTTGTCCTTTGTGTATATGGGTTGTGTGTGTGCTGGGGGTTGATCCTGGGGCATTGTGCATGGGGTTTTGTCTCCAGCTCCCAAGCAACTTACTCAAAGTCAACTCCTGACAAAGGACAGGGCTGGGTTTGAACCAAGCCAGTTTGGCTTACAGCTTGTGCCTTAGCTATCCTGCCAGAGGCTGGAAAGTAAATGGCAGTGGCATGAAGCTTTCCAAAGGGTCCCCCAGGAGGAAGGTCCCAGGGAGGAGGGGGATGTATAGGGTGGGTGGGCACAGGAGGAGTGGGCACTCACTGCGGGCTACAATCTCGCCCTGGAGGTGGTACCGGGCCAGGTCAAGTACCCAGAAGACAGCATAGTCCAGAAAGACCAGGAGGAACACGAGGAGGAGGTGACGGGCAAGGTCAAAGATCTCCAACATATAAAAAATTTGCTCCCATCGGGACAGGAAGATGGAACCTGAAGGGGCGGGTGGTCGGAGTGTGCTCCCCCATTCTGCCCACAGATCCCAACTCTTGAGAACTTGCCCGCGCTTACCAAGTTCAGCTTAACTGCTTACCCAGAGAACAAAAAGAGTCTGAGAGGACTGTGGCAAAGGCAGGGAGCACTCTTCAAGGGCAGGGCCTTGGTGGAAAAGCCTTGTAGGTTTACCTGGAACCATGGTTCATCCCTGGACACACACACACACACACACACACACACCCGCTGCCCTTGCCTGCCTCCTGCCTCCCAGGCAGTCTTCCTTTCCCTATTAACACATCCACCCCTCTTGCCCTCCCAATGGAACGTCTTCAGCCTCTTATCCCTTGCTCCATGTTGCTCCCCTTGTCTCCCATTCAGCCTGAAGTTATCTCTCTTCCCTCTGGACCCAATGCTTCAAAACAGGGTCAGGGAGATGGGACTGAGGAAGGCTTTGACTGCCCCAGAGCTCTTCTTTCCCATCCTCAGCGCCCTCACCTGGTTGGATGTAGTGTCTGGCCTCGTGAGAACTGAGCGGCAGCACTGTGGGCAACCCTGCCATGGAACGCACCGCCTCCATGTGTAAGAAGCGGCTGGTGATATAGATGTTGTCAAAATTGTCGTGGTTCAGGTAACAGTACCGATACCACAGGGCTCTGAGGAGAATCGCGTATGAGATCCCTCGGCTCTCTTTACCAGACCCCCAGGCATCCCAGGCAATGTTGCCCTGCCAGCTCCCCCCACCCCCAAGATTCCATAGATGGACAGCCCCAAACAGTCTATCCCACAGGCCCTGTAGCCCCTCACTGGAGATAAAGAAGTGTGAAGAGAAGAGGCATGGTGTAGCCCATCAGAGCCAGGACCTCCCTGACACTGTGTAGCCTCGTGCTGACGGCCTCATGAAGGTCCAAAGCCACCTGGGACAGGCTCCGAGAGGCATTGAGGTCCACGGAGAAGTAGTGGGTGGCTGTCATGTTGAACTCAAACTCACGACGCACCTGGTTAATCAGCTTCATCACAGCTGGGACCAGCGGGGCCAGGGGAGACATGAGCCAGGGTAGTTAGGAGGGCAGAGCTGCATGGGGTGGGGGCTGTCCTGGCCCAGGAACTGTGCAACTCACCAAGGAGTCAGAGCTCCCAGGGCCCAGATCTAGACGAGGAAGCAGTGACATGTTCCTGACACACAGCATTAGACTTGGCCCGGGGCTTCTGCTCCATCACGAGTGAGGAGCAACCTGTGACCTACGCTCTGGTGGGAGGCCCTGTTCCTCCCAGATCTCATGGCCCGTGCTCAGGCAGGCAGGAGGCTCTGTTCCTCCCAGGCTCTGCTCTGAAGTCTGGCTTGGATGAGACACTCCCACCCCCGCACCACTCACTGGGCCTCAGCTTCTCAATCATCTCAGCTTAGACATTAGCCTGGGTGACCCTGCGAAGTCCTTTCCCGCTCTGGCAGGAGACTTCAGCTGCCAGTGGCCGCAGTAAGATGAGGAGGACACGGGTGCCAAGGGCTGCAGGGGTCACTCACGGGTGCTGATGGTCTTTCGCAGGAAGAGTTGGATGTATGAGGGGATGACACAGAACATCTGGACCACTGGGAGTCAGGGAGCTCAGTGTGAGGATGGGGAGCAGAAATGCAGCCTGCCTGCCCACCTCTGGAACCTTCCTCTCATGGGGCTGGCGGACTTTCTACTTTTCCCGCTGGTCTGTACGTGTGCTTACGGTTTTTAGCCTTTCTCTACAGTGGTTTCCTGAACATCATTCTTCTTTATTACCCACCTTTGCCTCACTGAACCCAGCCTCCTGATGGGCTCCATGTTCAATGCCCCTCAAGTGATCCCCTGTGCTCACCCTCTGACAGACCCTGCTTTCTCACACCCCAGCCCTATGTTCATGCCTCCCCGCAGGGAAGCCCTGATTCTCTCACAGCTGGCGAGTCCACAGAGCACCAATTTGAAGGGCATGAGCACATAACACAGGTGATGGACTTGCGGCAGGATCTTCATACAGTTGTCCTTGGCGTCATCAAATACCCCAGTGCATTTTGTGTAAGGGTTGCCCAGCTCTGAGTTGCACACATCACCAATGTGAAGGAGCCAGTACCACACATTCCTCAGGGACCTGGCTGGGGACAGCTGTTCCGTTCAGTCCCCCATCCTTTTTCAATGATTTGGGTAACACCAACCACCTCCCCCACCTCTCAGCCCCGCACCCCCCCCCCCACCAGAACTGGTCAGTGGTCAGTCAGACGTGCTGTGAGAGTGCCTGGAGAGGCACTAGGATAAGAAGACTGTGGTACTCTGACCTCCCCAACCAGACGTGCAGCACACCTACCTACATGCTTCACACCATCCATGATGGACCGGAAGAACTTGCGAACCCGGTCAGCCACCACTTTGGCCCTCTGGGCAATAGCTTTAATCTTGGTCAGAGCACCTGAGGGACAAAGGACAACACTGGGGTGGGCCTCTTCCTCCAGGAACCGATTCTCACCATTTCCTGGGACGGGGGGGGGGGGCTGTCAGAGAGGTTAAGGAGCCTAGGTGCTGGGGTGTGGAAATAATCAGGTGAAGGGGCAGGCTGGAAGGCAAGAGAAAGAGGATTTAGCTGGACTAGAACATGGCTTCCCAGGCCCAGCCACTTGGGTTAGGGCACAGTTGCAACAGAGGAATTAAACTGAAGGATAGAAGACCTTACAGGAGAGGAGTCAGTGGTAGGCTGGGGTGGACCTTACTGACAAGGGGCTGCCTGGCCCTCTCTAGCACTTCAGCAGTCTGGTTCAGGGCCAGCTCTGCCCCACAGGCCACAGCTTCACTGGCCCGGGTGAAGTTGCGCAGGGTATTGGCACAAGGCCCTTGAAGCACGAGCCCAAAGGCAGCCACCACCAGCAGCATCCGGCCTTGCCCTAGGGAGACGGCTGGGTCAATCACAGCCCAGGATCCAGCCCCAAGGCAGCAGTTCCTCCTTCATATTAGTTTTTAGGATACCCCCACACACACTCTGCCCCAGCCCAGCTCTGCCTTGTTCCCGGGGTGCCAGGCTCACTGGAGAAGGCCTGGGGAAGCAGCAGGAAGACAGAGACACGGACCTGGCGGGAGAACCCCATGCCCAGGCTAAGGAAGGCAGCCAAAGTGACAGTGGCCACCAGGCAGGCATAGGGGCTGTGTCCCTCCACCAGAAGTTCCAGAAGCCCATAGGCTGTGGCCAAAGACAAACCCAGAGTAAAGCCACCCATGCTTCGGACCACAGCCCGCGCCATGCTAGGCCCCTCCTCCCTGGAGGACCACTCTACATCCATTTTGGACATGGCTGCTGGGACCAAATGCCAGTGTGTCTCCAGAAGAGGCCCCCAGGTTCTATAGACCCGGAATTCTTCATCTAATTCTAAGGTTCCGCCAGGCTTCTAGCACGGGTGTGTCTCAGAACCCATCACCCAGTTCTGAGGGCTCACAGAGCTAGGGAGCTGAAGGACACAGACCACAGTCGTGGGCTGTGAGTGAAGCCAAAGCCACAGGCTGCAGGCGCCTCTCTCCTCTCATCAGAATTTCACAGCCTGGGAATCTTTGAAGAGACTTCTAGGATGAAAAGGGTTCCTGAGAATAGACTGATGGACATTACACAGCATCAGAACGGAACAGGAAGGCAACAAAGGAAACTGCCCCACACCAGTGAGACAGCCAGCCCTCAGCCTCCGGCCCTTTCCCAGCATCCCTCAGACTTCTCTTGTCCTCTCTCCTCCATTCGGTGTCCTCCCTACAGCCTAGTCATCTTCTTCTTCCCACTGCTGGCTTACTCTTGACGATCCCTTATCTCTTCCAGTGTACGCCAAGTCCCTGCCACCATGCTTCCCCAGCATCTGATCCTCCTAAAATCTTAAACCTTAGCTGGGCAGTGGTGCTGCACGCCTTTAATCCCAGCACTCAGGAGGCAGAGGCAGGCAGATCTCTGTGAGTTTGAGGCCAGCCTGGTCTACAGAGAGAGTTCCAGGACAGGCAGGGCTGCACAAAGAAACCTTGTCTCAAAAAACCAAAAACCAAACCAAAACAAAAAACCCCCTCAAACCTTGGGGCTGGAGAGATGGCTCAGTGAGTGGTGAGGAGCACTTACTGCTCTCCCAGAAGACCTGACTCTGTCACCCAAGCAGCTTACAACAGCGTGTAACTATAGTAACTGTAGCTCCAGGGGATCCATGGCCCTTGACCATCCGCATACACATGACACACATAAACTCAGGCAGGCGCACACATATTGGTGAATAAAATTAAAGTGTTTCCAACCTTAATGAACTTCATTCAGCCAGAAAAAGAGGCTATGAGCTGAATTGTCTGCTTTTCAGCCATGCAGAGGCTCCTACGATGGGGTCTTCCAGTTTCCTGGAGCCGGTTCCTATGGCGCCAGCCAGGAGAGTTCCCTGCCACTGCTTTCCTGCTAGGAGCAGGCACTGGTGGGCTCTTGGCCATAGGCAAGTGAGGGAGCAGCAGGGCCGGGCGGGGCCGGGCGGGGGCAATCAGTTGACTTTTGGCTTCGCCCTGTTCCTCAGGTCTCTTTCAGCTCCTGGTGAACCCCATGAACATCTATGAGGAGCACAAGATGGCAGCGTTGTATGGCCTGGCAAGTTAGTAGTGGGTAGAGGTGGGCATTGGGGGCCTGGAGGAAACTGGAGGAAACGAGCTTGTTCGTTCTATGCCCCACTGTCCATGACTTCAGCCTCCTCTTACACTTTAGAAAAGAGAGAAGGGGACCTCAGAGGAGAGAGGATCCTATAGTGAGAAGGCCCAACCCTGCCTTCATTAAATCCTGTCGGTCTATGAGAGTCCCACTGCGCACACATCATAGGCCAGACCCTGCACCTTATCACAGCTCTGTTGACCACTCCTGCACACACTGCTGCACACCTTACTCTTGACTACCAGTTCCTCCCTCCCTCCTCCCTCCTCCCTTCCTCCTCCCTTCCTCCTTTCCTTCCTCCCTCCCTCCCTCCTCCCTTCCTCCTTTCCTTCCTTCCTCCCTCCCTCCCTTTCTCCCTCCCTCCTCCCTCCCTCCCTCCTCCCTCCTCCCTTCCTTCCTTCCTCCCTCCCTCTCTTTCTCCCTCCTTCCTCCCTTCCTCCCTCCTTCCTTCCTCCCTCCCTCCTTCCTCCCTTCCTCCCTCCTTCCTCCCTCCCTCCCTCCTCCCTCCTCCCTCCTCCCTTCCTTCCTTCCTCCCTCCCTCTCTTTCTCCCTCCTTCCTCCCTCCCTCCCTCCTCCCTTCCTCCCTCCCTTCCTTCCTCCCTCCCTCCCTTTCTCCCTCCTTCCTCCCTCCCTTTCTCCCTCCCTCCTCCCTTCCTCCTTTCCTCCCTCCCTCCCTCCCTCCCTTCCTTCCTCCTTTCCTCCCTTCCTCCCTCCCTTCCTTCCTCCCTCCCTTCCTCCCTCCCTCCCTCCCTTCCTTCCTCCTTTCCTCCCTTCCTCCCTCCCTTCCTTCCTCCCTCCCTTCCTTCCTTCCTCCATCCCTTCCTTCCTCCTTTCCTGAAGATTCAGAACCAAGGTGACAAGCACCATCCTTTTTAGAGTTTACAGTTAAAAAAAAAAAAAAAAAAAGTCACCCATAGCTGGGTGTGGTGACTCACACCTATAATCTACAATCTCAGAATTCATAAGGCTAAGGCAGGAGGATTGCCTTAATTTAAGATCAACCTGGTGTACACAGTCTGTTCCAGGACAGTCTAGATTGCCAAGTAACATCTTGCCTCAAAAACTAGAAACTGACCAACCTACCAGTGTGAGACAATGAAGTAAGAAAACAAAGTAGGCTGTGGAGGAGGAAGGAAGGGGCTGGGCGCGACCCTAACCCTGTCAGGGAAGACGGCTAGAGGTGACATTTGAATGGAGACATTTGCTTTGGGTAGTGTTAGGCCACAGGAAAGGGACAGCTGAGAAAGGTTATGCAAAAGTGGCTTAAGCTTAGAGACAGTTTATCATCCCACAGAAAAAGTCCCATGACAGAAGTGTGTGCCCGCTTATGTCTGGAGTTCCAGGACAGCCTGGGCTTACTGTGTAAGACTTTGTCTCAAAAAACAAAAACAAAACAAAACAAAAAACTGAAAGAACAAGACAAATAAGACAAAAAGAGAGAAAGAAAAAAGAAAAAGAAAAAGTGGCTGTAGAGTTTGAGAAACCTAACAGCTGCAGCTGCCAGCCTGGAGGCATGTGTACTTAGAACCCCAGCACTCAGAGGGCGGAGGCAGGAGGATTGTATATGAGAGGCCAACCTATGTTAAGACCTTTATCTCAAAGGGCTGGAGAGATGGCTCAGGAGTTAAGAGCACTTGATGCTCTTGCAGAGGACCTGGATTTGATTCCCAGTACTCAGATGACAGGCACTAGGCACACAACACACATGGTATACATACATATATGCAAGCAAAACATATGTATGCATATATATATATGCTTACTTAATTTTTGTTGTTGTTTTTCACTCTTTTTTTAATTTTAAATTTTTTTTGCTCTTATTCCAGTTCCCCCTCCCTCCCTCCTTCTCTCCCTCCCTCCCATGTCCTCCCACCCCCTCCCATCCAATCCCCCCCCACTCCACAGGGAGGATGATGCCTTCCAGGAGTGGTCAACAAAATCTGTCAAGTCATTTGGAGTAGGGACTAGGCCTTCCCTCCTGCCTCTAGGTTAAGGCAGTTATCCCTCTATGGGGAATGTGCTCCCAAAGTCCTTTTGGGCACCAAGGATACATCCTGGCTCCTCTGTCTGAGGTCTCTTAGACTGCTCAGTCCTTCTGGCTGAGACCCACATCCAGGGGGTCTGAGTTAGTCCCATGCTGGATCCCCAGCTATCAGTCTGGGGGCCGTTAGCTCCTCCTTGTTCAGTTGTTACTGTTTTTGAGATGGGGTTTCTCTGTGTAGCCCTAGCTGTCCTGGAACCCTCTGTAGATCAGGCTGGCAGCAAACCCACAGAGATCCCTCTGCCTCTGCCTCCTGAGTGCTGCTGGGACTAAAAGCGTGCACCATCACCACCGGTACCTAATTTTTTAAAAATAATTTTTTTCCAACAAACTAAAACACCAGCCAGCGTGTTTCAGTTTTCCACTGGCTTTGGCTTGAGGGTTTTTTTGGTGGTGGTGGTGGTGGTTTTTTGTTTTGGTTTGGTTTGGTTTTTGTTTGTTTTTTCTTTGAGACAGAGTTTCTCTGTGTAGCTCTGACTGTCCTGGAACTCTATAGACCATGCTGACCTGGAACTCAGGCCCAAAGCTTCCCGGATGCTGGTACAAAAGGCTGTGCTGCCATTGTCCAGCTGCCTAGAGGTTTTTCTGTTTCAGAGCTCCCCCCGTAACTCCAGGCATCAGATCTCTATGGAGCAATCTCAGAAACTAGGGAGGAGTATTTTGTCCTCCTACCCCACTCGCCAGCAGGCTTTCCACATCTCTGTGGTCCATACAGCGACTGATGCCCTTCTCTAACCCTGTCCCAGCCCAGGGCAATGGGAGGAAAGTCACTGGCTTATTGAACACATAAACTATAGAGTCTTTGACCATAAGGCCAAGACCACAGTAAACTCTTCTCCTCTCTGACCGCTGTATTCATGTATGTTCTGTAGATGACCTTTCACTCAGACAAGTAGGAAGCCCCAGGCGTGGCGACTAGGACTTATTTTGAGAGGTTAAAGGGTCCTGTCTATTCCACATCTGGACTTCAGGTCCCATGCTTCTTAAATGTCACCTCTCCATGCTGCTCCAATCCGCCCCACCCCAGCCCCTTAGCCCTGGGTCCTGCACTCACTTCTCCATCCTTCCCTTTCTATTGCTGCTTTGCTCCTGCCTGTCACATTCTCTGACAGTTTCATATAGGCAGATAATGAATGTTAGTCAATTTGAACCCCCTTGCCTTCCCCGCCCAGCCGTCTCCTACTGAAACCTCTCATCCCAATAAGCCCCCCCCCACACACATACTTCATGTCTTCCTTTTGCTGTTAAATTAGAATCGCACGGGTAGGAAGGGATTTACTGGAGCTGGGACAACTTTTCAGTAGCTGGGACCATGCCTAGCCCCTCCCCGCAGCCCTCATTCCTCCCACCACACCATCCTGCACCCTCCTCTACCTAGAAAAGGCCTCGGGCTAGGCTTGAACTCCTCGTTCTCCTGCCATCACTTCTCAAAGACTGGAGTTACAGGTGTGTGCCACCATACCTGGCCTCCGTTGTTTCTTCTCATTTTGGAGAGAGGAAGAATCAGAGGGAAAGGTACAAAATCTATTTTTTATGGCAGGGAGGAGAACAAAGTCTTTAGTCATCAATGTTGCTCTAACTCCCCAGTGCTCTCAGTGTGGCGGGTTCGGTGATGGGCT